TGAAAGAAGGGAAGGCCCTCAATAAGATGGATTGACACAATGGCTACAACAGTGGGCTCAGGTATAGCAGGGATCGTGGTGCTGGCACAGGACCTGGCGGTGTTTCGTTCTGTTGTAAATAGGGTCGCTGTGAGTCAGAGACGACTTGTTGGCATCTAACAACAATAATACTAGATGGGCGCTGGCAAGTCTGAAATCTGTAGGGCAGGCTAGGAACTTCGGCAGGATTTCTGTTACAGTCTTACAGAATTCTTCACTGGGAGACCTCCATTTTTGCTATCACTGACTGGATGAGGCCCACCCACATTATCAAGGATAATCTCCTTAAAATCAGCTTATTGTAAATGTTAATTCCATTTATAAAATACTTTCAGAGCAACTCCTAGACTGCTGTTTGACCAAAGGATGTGACCACAATAGCCTAGCCAAGTTGACATATAAAATTAACCATCACATTATATATATATATTTCCCGTCATTTGCCATGTAATTGCTCATTTCATAAGTTTTCCAGAGCTCTTTCAACCTTTTAGTCATAGATAACAGTTGAGCAAAGTCTATGAAAACATTCAGATCATCCAAAACAATTCCTGCATAATCATTAAGTAACTATATAAATTTAAAATTTTTCAAAAGAAGAGAATGGAATACGTAATGCTAAACACTGCTTGTTCAGTTAATCTTTATTGAGAAAATTACAACTTTCCTGTAGGTCAGAGGTCAGTTTTTCTGCAAATGGCCAGGCAATGATTATTTTAGATTTTTTGGGCCATACACACTGTCACATATTATTACTCTTTTTTTAACAACAACAAATGCAGTGCACTGCCGTCGAGTCGGATCCGACTCATAGTGACCCCTCCTTGGGTTTCCAAGGCAGTGTCTCTACGGAAGTAGATTGCCCGACCTTCTTTTTTAAGCAGCCTTTTAAAAATGTAAAAACCATTTTTAGCTCCTGGGCTGTACAAAAATAGCCATGGGACAGATTTTGGCAATGGCTTTGCAGTCCTGCTACGAGTGAGCCCCTGGAAAATACTGTTAAACCTGTTGCACTCAGAAACCTAAATAGGATTCAAGCCAGGGTATCTTTTCTTGAGAAAAAGAGATGTTTGCGTTGTATCAAATAATCTGTGTTTTCTCTATTAAAAAAAAAAAAAGTAATATACCTGCCTTGGTTATCTACTGCTGCTATAATAGAAGTACCATAAGTGGGTGGCTTAAAGGAACATAAATTTATTTTCTCACAGTTTAGGAGGCCAAAAGTCCAAATTCAGGGCATTGACTTTTAGGTTCTTTGGCAGTCATGTGGGATGCTTCTTCCCCTCCATTTGTGCTTGCTTGTTTGCATAATATGCTCTTTTGTATCTCAAGAGATTGATTGAAGACACACCCTACACTAATACTGTCTCATTAACACTGCAAAGCAAAATATTCTCAAATGGGATTATAACTTCACACATAGGGGTTAGGATTTGCAGCACTTATCTTGGGAGACAGTTCTATCCACAATACCTCAGGTAAAAACAAGAAAACAGTGATGTTTGTATAAAATTTATATAACCTAAAGACTGCTTTTAAAGCTGAATAAGTGTGTGGTAAGTTCTTGTGCAACAGAAAATATAGATTTGTTTTCACCAATGCTGTCTGCTGCAAAAGACCTCTTTAAAATGTTAAAAACAAATATGTCACTTTGAGAACTAAGGTACACCTGTCCCTAAGCCGTGGGTGGTATTTTCAGTCACCTCATTTGCATGTGAAAGCTGGACAGTGAATAAGGAAGCTGGAAAAATTGATGCCTTTGACTTACAGTATTGGGGAAGAGCTCTGGTAGCATAGTGCCTAAGACACTTAACTGCCAACCAGAAGGCTGGTGGTTCAAACCTACCAGCCACACCTCGGAAGGAAGGTGGGGCAATTTACTTCCGTAGTGATACCACCTCGGAAACCCAAGGAGGGGTTGCTGTGAGTTGGGTCTGACATGACGGCACATAACAACAACATACTGTGCACTGCCAGAAGAATGGATAAATCTGTCTCAGAAGTATAGCAAAAATGCTGCTCAGAAGCAAGAATGGAGAGACTCTGTCACATGTCCTTTGGACATTATATTAGGAGGGACCAGTTCCTGGAGAAAGACATCATGCTTGGTAAACTAGAGAGTCAGCCAAAGAGGGTGACCCTTAAGGAGATAGGATTGACACAGTGGCCACATCAGTGGGCTCAAACATGGCAAAAATTTTAAGAATGACACAGGACTGGCCATTGTTTCATTCTGTTGTACATAGGGTCAGTATGAGTCAGAACCGACTCAACAGTACCTAAAAACTTGGTTGGATAGGCTTTTTAAGGGGAGTGCGTGAGCCTTAGTGATTCAGTAGTTAAGTGCTCAGCTGCTAACTGAAAGATCAGCTCCATGGGAGAAAGATGCTTCTGTGAAGACTATAGCCTTGGAAACTATTGGACAGTTCTCCTTTGTCCTGTAGAGTCACTTTGAGTTGGAATCTACTCAACAGCAGTGGGTTTGGTTTTTTTTGGTTTATGAGCCCCTAAACTTTTTATGTAGGATTTTAAATATCTACACTTTTATGCATTGTGAATCCATAGCTTTCATCACATTCTCAAAGATTTATATGACCTTAAAGGTTAATAACCCATTGCTGAAGTACTTCTGTGTCAGTTAATGGCAGCCTATATATTGAGGCTTTGTAGGAGAAGTGACCACTGAGTAAAGTGGGCTGGGGCCAACAGTAATAGAAAAATCACAGGTAGGTATCAGTGCTCACAGACCAACAATATCAAAAGCAGGTCTGGAAGAGACCAAGAATCTTTGGTTTAGTAGCAGTAACAGAGGAATCAGGCATCTCATATATTGATCTTCAAGGTGCCTTGAGTTTTTTTCTCATTGCTTCCTTCACACAAGTGAATTAGATTTTGAAGAAAATGTAAAAATCTTCCAGGGGAGTTACTCATACTCTAGTCACAATAAGCAGTTATAATTCTATCACTCTTTTAGTATGACAGAAGGAATAATTATTTGGTCACCTGTAGCTAATTGCAGCAGACTACAGCCTTCAGTATGGATTATACTTCAACATAAAGAAAACAAAAATCCTCACAAATGAACCAGAAACCAAGATCATGATAAACAGAGAGAGGCCTAAAGTTGTCAAGGATTTTCACTTGGATCCTTAATCAGTGCCCATTGAAGCAGCCATCAAGAAATTGAATGACCTATTGCATTGGGCTGGAAGGAAGATGGGGCAATCTCCTTCCGTAGTGATACTGCCTCGGAAACCCAAGGAGGGGTCGCTATGAGTCATGTCTGACTCGATGGCACATAACAACAACAACAACAACAACAACATTGCATTGGGCAGATCTACTACAAAAGACCTCTTGAAAATCTTAAAGGGCAAAGTCCACTTTGAGGACTAAGGTGCACCTGCCCCTAGCTGTGGTATTTTCAGTCACCTCATATGCATGTGAAAACTGCACAACGAATAAGGAAGACGAAAGAAGAATTGGTGTATTTGAGTTATGGTGTTGGAGAGAATATTAAATATACCATGGACTGCCAGAAGAACAAACAAATCTGTCTTGGATGAAGTGCATACAGCCAGAATGTTCCTTAGAAGTGAGGATAGTGAGACTTCGCCTCTCCCTGATCAGAGGGACCATCCCTGGAGAATGATACCATGCTTGGTAAAGTGGGTGGTTAGTGAAAAAGAAGAAGACCCTTAATGAGATGGACTGACACAATGACTGCAGCAGTGGGCTCAAGCGTGGCAACAACAGCGAGGATGGCACAGGACTGGGCAACGTTGCGTCCTGTTGTCCATAGTGGTCACTATAAGTTGGATCCAACTGGAGACACCTAACAACAGAAAATTCCAATATATTAGTAATTTTTTCTGTGTATTTTTTAAAATGATTTTCAGTCATTTTTACTCAAAATATTCTTAGTTGTGTTTTAGAAAAATTAGAGAAAATTTGAGGGTGTGTGTGTGTGTGTGTGCATGCACATTTCCCCCAACATAGGCAGAATGGAGTTTTTACTGAGTTTACTAACAAAATATTAAACATTCATGGATTCTATTTAGAGGTAATATGTATTCATTGGGAGCTCTGGTAGCATAGTGGCTAAGACACTTGCCTGCTAACCAGACAGCTGGCGGTTCAAACCCACCAGCCACTCCTCGGAAGGAAGGTTGGGCAATCCTACTTCTGACGGCACATAACAACAACAAACAACAATGTATTCATTGGTGCCAAAAGGAAAAGTGTTCTGTATCACCAGTTACATTTTATCCCACCATTGAGAATCTTAACTTAATGGATTTGACCTTTGTTGTCATCCATTTTTCTGAGATTTTTTGATTAATTGAATACTATATTAAAGATATCATAGGTTCAGATCCTTTGTGGACTGTTAGTTTTAATAAGCACTGACTCTAAGACCAGCTAGCCATTATGTACAAGAAGTTAAGAAATTATGAAATAAAAGATACCAATCTCTTAGTGTAGAAAAGAATCTTAAGAGACAGTATGTGCTTGAAATCAGACTGATTGGATTGGCACTTAGCTCTGTAACTTTCTAGCTGTGTGCTCTTGGGCAGCTGAGCCATCGTGTGTTTAGATGTAAAATGGACAATCAGTCAGGACTTTTAAAAATCTTAAAAGTATATGTAAGAAATATGCACAAACATTCATTCACCCTTAAGAAACTGTAAGTATCATTCAATAATTTAGTTGGAAATACTTACGAACAGTTACATTTATGGTTGGTATATTCTTTTTTGAATAATTGTTTTTGTAAATAATAATTCTGCTTTTTATCAAAAGGCATGGCTTTGGGAAGAAGACAGAAATCTGAGATGTGGTGTGAGGAAATACGGAGAGGGAAACTGGACTAAAATACTATTACATTATAAATTCAACAACCGAACAAGCGTCATGTTAAAAGATAGATGGAGAACTATGAAGAAACTAAAACTGATTTGTTCAGACAGTGAAGACTGAACATGTTTGTAAAAGCTTGATAAAAGGAGGACAGTTAAAATATTTTGAGTACTGTGTTGTAACTTTAGTGGTCACTGATGTATCTTAAAATTTTTGTTTATTACAGTACTTTTCTGTGAAACAAAGTCATTTAATTTAAAGATTATGCTGTAACAGTAAAATTATTTGCTATCATTGTATTCTTAAGAATCTTTTTACTTTGATGTGTAAAATTGTTGAACCCTGCCTCATTCATGTCCACTCCCAATTCCTGCTCCAATTAAAAGAAAGAATGAAAACCTGACAAGAGAAAAAATATCTATTAACCTATGCTGTTTCTGTAGACTGACCTCAACCCCATAACACACACATAAAAATTTTCCCAGACACTGAATAATAATAAGCCTCTGACATAGAGGTCATGACTTGATTTATAGCCTTAATATGCTACTTAATTACCAAGACATTTGTTTATAGAATGATAAATGTACAAGGTAATATATTACAACACACCTAAGTTTTCATATAAAGAGAAAATTTTTAGCAGGCAAGTACCTTAGGCACTATGCTACCAGAGCTCCCTGGTGTCAGATTAGGAGAGACTTTTGTCTGTGTGGGCTATTAGTCCCATGGCAGCTAACCAGAAGGTTGGTGGTTCAAACCCACTAGCCACTCCTCGGAAGGAAGACTGGGCAATCTGTTTCCGTAGAGATACTACCTTGGAAACCCAAGTACTATGAGTCTGGACCAACTCGGGGCAATGAGGTATGGTCAATAGGCATGTATTACCAGACTGAGCAGGACAGGAATGAGAACACACATACATCATCATCATCCTTGGTTCTCTGAAGTTCATCCACAGGGTTAGATTGCATCCAAGCATGCCCACTTCACGTCTTAGGAGAAGAATGCCTAAGTTATTCTCTCCTGGTATTAAATGCTATTTGGGCAGCCATGTCTAAGTGCCAGATATGTGTATAGAAATTAGGTAAGGGAAGGGCAGTAAGAGGAGGTCATAAAAAGTAAAAGTGGGTAATAAAGGACATCATTTATTGCCCGTGTTCAGGCTATTCTAGATTTACTGGCACCAGAAAATAGTCCTTCCTCCTTTCTTCAGAGGGCAGCCATCTTCCCCTAAGGCACATACTTTGTATTCATTAGTAGCTATTATGACTATTAGCAGTTAGGGAGCCATCAAGGGGGCAATTAGAGCATACTTTACCATCTTACAGACAGATACTAAATACAAAATAATGTCAGGGGTAGGCAATTTTGAGTTTTCACTAACATTTTTTAGAGGATTTATTCAAATCAGTATTTGTAGTTACATGTGCTTTATTCAGCAAGTGAGTACACATATTGTCTATAGAGTGTTGAAGTAGTTATATAGAAAAAGGTAGTATTCTATAATCTATGTTTCATTTTCTGTAAAGTTTTATATATTACGTGCCCATTGTCTCTAAATTTATGGTCTTATGTGTATTAAACCAGACTTACTACCATCAAGTTGATTCTGACTCAGCAATCCCCTTTGGGTTTCCGAGGCAGTAAATCTTTACAGAAGTAGCTTGCCCAGTCTTTCTTCCACGGAGTGGCTGGTGGGTTTGAACCACTGACCTTCCAGTTAGCAGTCAAGTGCCTTATCCACTATGCCACCAGAGCTATAATACTGTGCTCCTTGACTCACTATCCTGTTACACCACTAACTACTGTCACCATATTTATCACTGGCATTTTGATGATTAGTGCCAAAGCTGGCCTCATGAGTCAAGATGAACTTCTAAGTCACCCTCTTCTCATCAAATCTAGGTGCATTTAATTGTAAGATACTCAGTTATTTTATGTATCACTGTTCTGGTTACCTAGTGCCACTCTGACAAGAAATATACCACAAATGGGATGACCTTAACAAACAGGAGTTTATTCTTACAATTTGGAGGCTTTAAGTCCAAGCTCAGAGTGCCAAGCTCTAGAGGCTGAGTGAAAGCCCCTCAACCTTGAGGTCCAGCTCTGCCTTCTGCTCCCAGCCCACTGGAGCTAGAGGCATCTTCACTCAGACAGCTGCTGGCTGCTGAGGCTGAGAAGCCCCAAGGTTGACAAGTAAAAAGGCACAGTCCCGATGTTACCAAACCACACGGCAGGCCATTAACTTTAAGTCCATTGTAAGTCCCAAGGTCAGCAGAGCATGGCAGGCTGCTGAACAACGACACAGCTACATGCAGGGTCCAAGCGTGCCATAGGCTAGAGACCATTCCCAAAGCTGCTGCTTATATATGGGAAGCAGGCCACATACCCAAAGGCAGCTACTCAGCTGCTCCCAGTAGATTCCAACATGGAGTTGATTACCAGTCTCATCATGGGGAATACTACATCCAGCTGCCCAGCCACTCAACTAGGCACAGCCAAGTTGACACGTTAACTACCAAGATCACTAAAAATAAAATCTATCTATAATAGCATGATGCTTTCTTATTTATAATTTTACTTATTAAAAAGCTATTTTAGATCTATTTAAACCTGGATTTTTATCTGTAATTTGTGGATACATGAAGAGGAAATAGGATCAAAGTAAGTTGGGTATTATATACATAAAACTCATCTTCAGAGTCTGATTCTTCTGAATTACTTATTTTTAAATTTATTTTTGTTAAGAGAATACACACAGCATAGCATAAGTAATTGAATTTCTGCATGTACAATTCAGTGACATTGGTTACATTCTTCAAGTTATACATTCATTCTCATCTTTCTTTTCTGAATTGTTCATACCCCATTCACAAACTCCTGCTCCTAAGTTTAGTATCTAATCTTTCAAATTTCTGTTGTCAGTTTGATCCCCTATACATAGGTCTTAAAAGAGTACAACACTCAAAGCCAACATTCTTTACTAATTAAGATAAATAACTCTTTGATTTAAAGAAGACTTCACGGGATATTTTTGGTTTAAAGGTTGCCTTAGGGATAGTTGTGAGGTGCATCCAGCTTCAATGGTTCTAGAAAGTCGATCCCATGAAAATTTGAAATTCTGTTCTGCATATTCCTCCTTTTGATGAGGATTCTATAGAATATTTTACCAGGCATCATCCCGAATTACTATTTTTTAATTGAAAATTTCATTGACATAACTACATTTACATCCAGTTGTACAAAATAATACAAATAGATCCCTTGTACATTTTTCCCAGTTTTCCTCAGTGGTAACATTTTGCAAAACAAAAGTATATCACCACCAAGATACTGATACTGATGGTAAGCCATCAATATGATTCTGGTTTTCCTAGTTTTACTTGTGTGTGTGTGTATATATTCTAAACAGTTTTATCAACTGCACATGTTCACATATCCACCATCCTAATCAAGATACTGAAAGGTTCCAAAACCATAAGATTTCCTTGTGTTGTCCTTTTATGACCACACTCCTCTCCCTCCTGTACTACATCCCAAACCCTGACATCTATTAATCTCTCCTCCATTTCTTAACTTGTCATTTTAAAATGACAAAAGAGTGTCATATTGAGAGTGACATCAGCAAAAAATGAAGTAGGGGGGCTTCAAGGATCCTTCCACTGAAGCAGCCATTAAGCTAGCAAAAAATAGAATCTTTTTTTTTTTTTAAAGAATTTTGGACTCTAATAAACTTAAAACAACCAGAGGAGTGCTTAATAAAAGTGGCTGCTAAGTTTCAGTAAGAGACTGTTCTGACATTTTTATTTACCAGCTGGGCAGTTGTCTTAGGATGGCATCACACTGTACTGGTGTGGCTTGCCGGTGCCAGAGTGAGCATTATGGGCTTAGCATTCAAAGAGTTGTGTTTGGGCCTATCTGGTGGTTCCCTGTTGAACTGGCACACAGATTTGCCTTTGTTTCGCCCCCTGAACTCAGCCAGAGTAGCCACATGGGCAGCATTTGTTAAAAACAAAAGGCGTACACTTCTTGCAGCCATCGAGGGCAACAGGTGGGGGACAGAGAAAGCAACAAACCAAAATGCCCAGGGCAGTGAGACACAGGGGAGGAAGTACTTTGAAAGACTCCTGCATAAACCAGGGAATCCACAATGACTCAAAATCATGCCACCTTTTAGCCTGTTTCATATTTTGATCATGCTTTCATGTTCAGTTTCTTCCTGTAGTTTTGATTTCCATACTTATGGAAACAATACATGTTTTAATTTTGAAAGTTTAATTTTTCTGCATGGCTTAAAATGGAAAACCTTTTTCCAGTCCATCACCCTTCATCACTCCCCAAAGGCAAATATTCCCAGCTCTTAGTTATTTTCTGAGGTACTGATTTTCAGATTATTTAATGTGCTCATGCTGCTGTTATTGTATTATTGACCTCCCATTGCACAGGATGAGGTTTTAAGTCTCTTTTGTGCATCCCCCTATCTCGCTCTGCACCCAAAACACATTCTACCCTTAAATACACTTTTCATCCCTCATTCCCAATATAGTTATATCACAGTTTTTGCTTTAATCAAAGACCTAGCTTCGTCTCTGCACATTTGGCTTTCTCTTCTAAGACCGTTACCTCTGGGCCATCTGCATTTTTCTTCCTGAAACTCTGTGCCATTCCTTTTTACTGTCTTTTTCAATCTCCTTATAGTTATATATGTTTGCCTTTAAAAAACTCCTTAAATGTTATTTTACTGGAAACTGGGGACAAAGGTGGCAACTATGTGTGTTCAGTTTGTCATATTTAACTGAAAGAAATGTCCTACGTAGAACAGTTTATTAAGACTTCTAGGTATCCTTGGGGGGAACAAATGATTAAATAAGCACTCTGCTACTAACTGATAGGGTGGCGATTTGAAAGCCCCCAGAGGCACCTCGGAAGGAATGCCTGGTGATCTGCTTCCAAAGGGTCACAGCCTTGAAAATCCTCACGAAGGTGGGGGGCGGAATCACCATGAGTCAGAATCCACTCAACGGCAACTGTTTTCGTTGTTTAATAAGGTCTGAATCCTTGCATCTCTGAAAGTCTGCCTCTTGCCCTCACACTTGATTAGTCACTTGGCTGGTATGGAATGCTAGTTTCAAAATTATATTTCTCAGAACTGGGAGGTGTTACTGTATCAAACTTCAAACATCCACTCAAGTTGATGAGAACACTGCTGTCTTCTAAGAATTCTTGTTCCTTGTAGGTAATCTGTTTTACTGTCTGCAAACATTTATGTATGGACTTTTCTTTATCCTTGATTGGAAATTTCACAAATTTGCATTTAGAGGTGGGGACATTTTTATTCATCTTGTTTGGTGTTCAGTGGGACCCCTCACCCCAGGAAGAATGGCTCTCACCTCTGATTCCACCAGGGCTCCCTCCACTCTGATTCATCTATCAACAACTAAACATCTTCAAAATCTTTCCGTTCTTCAGTATCTCTGGGCTAATGCACCCTTCCCTCCCCTTTCTCAACTATGGTATGTACTTATCACGTTTTATGGATTCTGTAATCTCAATGGAATTTTGGGATGGGAGAGGGTGGACATGTATATCCATCCATCTGCCACCTTGACATAGAAGTTTCACTTATCTTTTAATATGCTTATCTTGCCCAGAATGCCTTACCTCACCTGGCTCATCAGGAAACATCCCTTTTAATAGCATACCCTGAAACCCAAATCTAGTTTATTTATCTGTTACTGATCAGCTTAGAAAAGATAAGATCATTGGTAGTAGTCTGAGAATGATATTTCTCCCCTGGATATCAGATTGCATATACCTCATAATGTCTAGGACCTTATTCTTTAAATCAACTTCCAAAGTTGTTTGTATGAACATTTACTAGAACATTCTAACAGAGCAGAAACCACTTTTGTTTCCCATCATTTTTGTGCATGACCTGAAAAGATGGCTAATTAAAATGTTTATGCCAGAGTAGTGTGAAGCGATTTAAGGTATTGCTATTTATGCCTAACTGTGTTGTTGCTGTTAGTTGCCATCAAGGTGATTCTGATTCATGGCGACTCCATATGTGCTGAGTAGGGTTTTCAAGGCTCTGGTAGTGTAGTGCCTAAGGCACCTGACTGCCAACCAGAAGGCTGGTGGTTCAAACCCACCAGCTACTCCTCAGAAGAAAGGTTGGGCAATCTACTTCCATAGCAATACTGCCTCGGAAAGCCAAGGAGGGGTCCCTAGGAGTCGGATCTGACTTGAAGGCAGTGTGTTTGGTTTGGGTTTTTGAGCTTTCAGAAGCAGATTGGCAGGTCTGTCTTCTGAGGCCCCTCTGAGTGGGTTTGAAATGCAACATTTTGACTAGTAGTCAAGTGCCAAACTGTTTGCTGCATGCAGGGACTCCTATGCTTAACTAAAATGTTCTCAAATAAAAACATCCCAAGCAAGCCCTAAAAAGCAGGTACTGTCATATTTCATCTTGTTCCTTTTCTACTCTTTGTTCCTCTTCTCTTTTTTTCATCTGATTCTTCTTAATGACCACTGTCCCTAATTCTTTGCCTCTTTTCTGGGTGAATATATATTTTTTTGTTCAAATTACTTTCCACACTTACTTTTGAAAATCAGTCTATAAGTAATTCTAGAGTCGGTAAATCATTGGTAGATTGCCTGAGGAAAGAACCCTAACTCTAAAGCTCTAATTAAAAAAGAATGCCTATGAGGTCTTAAATACTTTGATCTTTAACTTTTCAAATAAAAACATTTGGGTCTTCATTAATCACTTAGGACTACATGTTGCAGTTCTAAACTGTTTCCTTGGGCTTTGCTAGAACTAATAATGAGCTTTTCAAAAACATTGTTTAATTGCCTTCTAGCCTATGAAATTCTCCTCAAGAATAGAAGTAACAAAAGTATAACTTCAATATGAAAGTAATTAATGTCCATGAACCAAAGATTGAATGTATAAGGGGGAGTATTGATTACAATTCAAATTCATTAAATGTTATAGCACATTCTGGAACCATTAATACATTAAAGCTTTATTGCTCTTTGTCACTGTATGTGTATCTATCAATTCTAAAGCTTTTTGTTTTGTTTTGGTAAAATTTTGTTCATTCTCTGACAAATCCAGAAATTTTATTCTCTAGTAAAACAAATAAAGCAATTTTAAAAGCATAAACAAATTTTATTTACTGGTATACAAATCTTAAGTCATATTAAAAGTTACCCAGGAATGACTTCAGCAATCTTGCTTTATAAATGTTAGAAATAGGCTTTAAATGTTAATGCTGCACTTATAATTAAAGTTCTCAGTCTTGATGAGACTCAAATTTTTTATTATCAATTTCTATGGAATTACAAAAAACAACTTTGACATTTAAATGGATATGTAGTCAGAAACACTGTTACTCTCAGCAGTAACTATTGGGCACGTTTCCCTCCCTATTAAGTTTGTTGCTGGCATTCTGTCATTACATTGTAAGTACCAAGAAATATGTAATTTAGTAATGATTTGTTAGTGAATAGTATTTTATACACTTAAAACCAAATTCCGTATAGTTTAAATCTTGAGGCAAGATTCTCCAAAGAAAACATTCTGAATTTAAAATTTATTTCTAAAAACTAAAAGGGCTTTGCTTCCACAGCACAGTTTTTGGTTGCTCAGGCTCTTCTTTAGAAGCTGAGTCCTGGGTGAGGAGCTAAAATTTGGCTCTGCTGCTGACTTGCAAGATGGTGCATCATCCTAGACACTTAAAGCACTTTGCCTCTGATTCATTGGTTTTCCAACCATAAAATAAGGAGACTAATATGTCTGTGTGTGTGAGATCATAATATTTGTAATAAAATCCATGCCCTCTGTATCTATGCCTCTGTCTTCTACCCCTGGCTCTCAAAGAACAGAACCCAACAGAAGAAAATCAATGCTGTGGAACAAAATATGCCTGGCACTGGGCTCTGGAAGATTATTTTACTCAACTCCAGGCTTTATAGTCTCAGAAATAATCCTAAATGTTAATGATAGCAATTTTCACTCATTAGGTCCAAAATTTCTCTTCATCAGAATAACATTTATTGACCACAGATGACTGACCTCTTCATCTAACTAAAGAAAATCATTTATTTTATTTCATTTAGAAAAACTGTTTGTTTTTTCATTATAAAATGTTACTGAAAACTAAAACAACTTGCCCTGTGGAAAATTGTTTGTGACAGTTTGCTTGACATTATTTATTCAGAGCTTATGAGCTAATATATGTGAATTCTATGTGTGAGAGTGCACATTTCTCTATATACATTTTTTTTTAAGTGAGAAGATTTTAGCAGATTATAGAATAGAAAGAAAGAATGCAAGATTCCAAATATGGATATCCTTAAATGGCAACTTACTCACCAATAAATGGATCATGCTGTGGTAATTTTAGTGTAAGCAGCCATGTGTTCTGTGTGTCATAGGCCTCTTGTTGAATGACATCCAGGTGGAAAGTGAAATATGTAAGACCATAGAAGCCTTTATGGTGGGTCTTAGTAAAAATAAAAATAAAGGTTCCATGCTTCTCGAGAACTGGTCCCTAAATTTTCTTTCTCTATTTCAGAGTGTGGGGCCATGACATGTATTCAGGGATTTGGACCAGTTTTTGACGGTTTATGAAGCATTGAATTTGACTTGATAATATTTAACATGTTTACAAACACACTTGGAAATATATAGTTTACAGTCTATATAAAGATAAAGCTGTGGACCGCTGGACAAGAACATTGATCTACTCGCCGAACTTTTTTCCAAGTTCCTTGACATCGAGGATTGCCAATGGCTTGCCAATGGAGAGTTTGATTTCTGAAATGATATTTTTAAAATGTTAGTTATACTAAAAGCAAACCTAAGAAAATTAGAATTTCAAGTACATTATAAATTGAAGTTTTTTTAAAAAAAGATTAATCACACACTGAGTATTCCTTCTTGGGTTACAAAGAGCAGAGTTCATTTAGGTTCTGTTAAAAACCAATTGCTGTCAAGTCAACTATAATTGATACATGTCACCTCATGCATGTCAGAGTAGAACTGTGCTCCACAGGATTTTTCAATGGCTGCTTTTTTCTTTCTTCAAAAGTAGATAACTAGCCCTTTTCTTTCCAAAGTAGAGGCACCTCTGGGTAAACTTGAACCTCCAACCTTTGGATTAGCAGCCAACTATCTGTGCCTCCCATGGACTTCACTACCACTCAAAGTACTTACTTGAAGTACTTGCTAATGAAGATTAAAGACTACAGTCTGCAGTGTGGATTACACCTCAACATAAAGAAAAGGAAAATCCTCACAATTGGACCAATAAGCAGCATCACAATAAATAGAGAAAAGATGGAAGTTGTCAAAGACTTTGTATTACTTGGTTCCACAATCAACACCAGTTACAGCAGCAGTTGAAATCAGACAATGTATTATTACGCTGGGAAAATCTGCTGCAAAAGACCTCTTTGAAGTGCTGAAGAACAAAGAGGTCTCCTTGAAGACTAAGGTGTGCCTAACCCAAGCCATGGTATTTTCAATCAGCTCATACGCTTGTGAAAGCTGGACAATGAATAAGGAAGACTGAAGAAGAGTTGATACTTTTTGAGTTGTGTGTTGGGAAAGAATACTGAAAGTACCATGGACTGCCAGAAGGAACAAATGTGTCCTGCATGAAGTGCAGCCAGAATGCTCCTTGGAAGCAAGAATGGCCAGACTTGGTCTTACCTACTTTGGTCATGTTGTCAGAAGGAACCATTCCACCATTCCCTGGAGAAGAATATCATGCTTGGTAAAGTGAAGAGTCAGCGAAAAAGGGGAAGGCCCTCAATGAGATGGACTGGCACAGTGGCTGCAATGATGGGCTCAGGTATAGCAAGGATTGTGGGGTTGGCACAGGACTGGGCAGTGTTTTGTTCTGTTGTACATAGGGTTGCTATGGGTTGGAGCCAACTCAACAGTACCTAACATGGACCTTAAGGATAAGGGGAATAGAATAGAGTGTATTCTATTCTGTGTGCTTGATAAACATAAATAGATGAAATTAATCTCCTTGTAAACTGACCCAAATCACAATAAAAGATTTTAAAAACATAGATGGTAGAGCATATGTGAACAAAAGCATAAGGCTATATAGAAATCTGCTTTTCTTAACTCTCAAAACAGTCATTATCCATACTTCCCTTTTTGCTATTAATCAAATACTGCTTTAAGAGATCTCTTCCATTTTTGTCTTAAGATGCTTGTTTAGTTATTTTACATAGCTTTTCGGGTCTCTTCCTCTCTCCTGGGCCATAGACTCCATGAAAGTAAGAAAAATGCTTTCCTTCTGTCCCTTAAATGTGCACATAGTGATTAAACACTTGTCCTTCAAGAAAAGTTCCTATACAGCAAGTTCTGCTGTTTGATGGCACATGAAGTTTGAGATTACAGTATTTGTTCCTCCAACTTGATCTGCGTATATGAAGTGCTAAAAAAAAAGAAAAAGGGCTGACTATTCATGTATGTTTAAATTAGAGGGGTCTAAAGCAAATAATCTCTTGTAATCCTTTCCAACTCTTTGATTTCATAATGAAAAAAAAAAAAAACTAGAGAAGCAGAAGGAACAAAGCCAAATTATTAAAAATACTATTTTAAGGTCATTGGTACCTCAGCCAGGAGTTAAGGTACTTTATGAGTATAAATTAAATTATAAATTCATTTAAAGTCAAAATATGGATGAGGTATTCAGAAAAATATTAAATCTAAATATTAAGTTTCCTTTTGATATGAATTCCTTACCCATTTTACTGGTCATACAATGTACTCAATACAGACGTGTTTAGGCACAAATGACTAATAAACATAAATTCAAGTTATTAAATATTAAAACATACTGTGGAAATAATGATTAACTGGAAAGGTCCATATTTGACTTTTTAATCTGCATTTTTACCAGTTCCACCTGAAGTATTTAAAACCTTAATCCATGACCTGAATTGGTCTTTGTCCAATAGCTTCCCAGCATGAAGTCTTCTCTCAGCTATTCATGGGATTATTCAGGGTAAGTTACAGGACTGAGATAGACTTGCAGGGAAGTAAAACGTTTTCTGGGTCAATTCTTTTGGACAATCTACAGATTTCTAGGGCCTCAAACTGTGCTATGTGAATCACCTGGGCAGAGGTCTGCAAACTATGGCCCTTGGGCCAAATTGGATTCACCATCTGCTTTTGTATGGGCTGAAAGTTAGAAATGGTTTGTATATTTTTAAATGGTTGGGGAAAAAATAAAAAAGAAGAATATTTCATGTATATAAAAATGATGTGAAATTCAAATTTTAGTATTATAAATAAAGATTTATTGGAACAAGTTCAGGCTTATTTGTTTATATGGTATCTTTGGATACTTTAATGCTACAATGGCAGAGGTGAATAGCTAAGATGGACCATTGACCCATAAAGCCGAAAATATCTATCTGGCCCATTACAAAAAAAAAATTCTGACCTCTGACCTATGAGATTGTTAAATATCTAACCCCAAAGATTCTGATTCCGTTGGTCTGAAGTGGAGCTCAGGAATGTACAGATTTTTAAACCACCAAACCAAAACCAAATACACTGCCGTCGAGTTGGATCTGACTCATAGCGACCCCTCCCTGGGTTTCCGAGGCAGTATCGCTATGGAAGTAGATTTCCTAACCTTCCTTCCAAGGAGTGCCTAGAGGGATTGAGTCACCAGCCTTCTGGTTAGCAGTCAAATGCCTTAGGCACTATGCCACATCATGTGATATTCTGATTCAAGTAGTCTTCAGAACTGCAATTTGGAAAATCAGGTTTTGGGTGGTCATTTGGGAGCCAAGTCTAACCTGAAACATCCAACCTGACCCATCATCTCTGTGTTTAATGGTCCTATAATATGAACAGGAGAGTTGGAGTCTGGATTACCCAACAGAAGATTCTCCTCACTGTTTTAATTCCCCAAATCATGCCTTGATATGTTACATACTGTACAGGTCAGCCATTCTGGACCTAGAGAGGACAAATCTCTAAGAATGAGTCATAAGAAAATTTCTTCAACCATTTTCCCTCCCTTACCCATCAGAGTCGAGGCCATCTCCAGAACAACGGAGGCTCACAGAGTTCATAGCTGGAGGCTGACAGTCCACACACACCGTGTATCCCTCTCGGAGATACTGCATCCATCGAGTCAGAGGCCGGTTCTCCATTGCACAGTGATGACTCAGTGACTCTGTCCTGAACTCCATACAGTATCTAGAGAAAAAAAGTAATAATTAAACTTGCTATCATTTGAAGGCCTATACTGTAAAACCACCACTCATCTGTCAGCCTGTTGTACTGTGGTGGCTTGCATGTTGCTATGATACTGGAAGCTATACCAAATACCAGTAGGGTCACCCATGGTGGGCACATCTCAGCAGAGCTTCCGTACTAAGACACACACTAGGAAAAAGGCCTTACAATCTACTTCTGAAAATTAACCGATGAAAACCTTATAGGTCATAACAGAACATGTCTCACTTGCTTGCTTTGGACATGTCATCAGGAGGGATCAATTGCTGGAAGAGGACATCATTTTTGGTGAAGCAGAGGGCCAGCAGGGCAAGGGAGATCCTTGGTGAGATGGATTGGCACAATGGCTACAGTGATGGACTCAAACATGCTGGTGATTGTGAGGATAATGCAGGACTGAGCAGTGTTTCATTCTGTTCTACAAAAGGTCACCATGAGTTGAAACTGACTTGATGGTGACTGTCTATCTAGTGTCTAAAGCATTTGACTGCTAATCAGAAGGCTGGCGGTTCAAACCCACCAGACACTCTGTGGAAGGAAGAATGGGCAATCTACTCCCATAGTGATACCGCCTTGGAAACCCAAGGAGGGGTCGCTGTCAGATCCAACTTGATGGCAGTGAGTTTGGGTTTCGGTCATCTGTCTATTTATATAGTAGTAAGTCTTAGGAGCTCTGGTAGCGTAGTCCCTAAGGCACTTGACTGCTAACCAGAAGGCTGGCGATTCAAACCCACCAGCCACTCCTTGGAAGGAAGATGAGGCAATCTACTTCTGTAGTGATACTGCCTCAGAAACCCAAGGAGGGGTCGCTATGAGTCGCGTCCGACTCGATGGCAAATAACAACAACAACAAGTCTTAGGAAGTATGACTGTCATCTTCAAGGTCATTTGGCTGGCTGGAGAAGGCAGCAGAATGCCAATTCACAGAATGCCTTGTAAAGGCCCTCATACCCTGGATTGTAGTTTACACCTACAATGATTCTTTAATCTCTTCTTCATTCCATAATTGAATTTCTAGTGAACACAATGGATACACAAGAATTTGGATAGCTTGTATCCTGACTAATCATACCACTAAATTGTGTATAAAAGCATGTTGCAGTTGAAAACTAGCCCTTGGTTATATTTTAAAGAATTAGATAATTTGAACAAGTAATGGCCTGCAAACCCTTAAATCTGAGACACAGGAGAAAGGCTGGTCCTTGGCACCCATGCCAGTCCCCCCTCCCCTGTGTTGTTCTGCTCCTAGATATTCCCAGGGCCTTACCTACACTCCCCACTGGCTCACATGTGTGATCTGGATAATGATAATGAGCTTTGACTTGAAGCCAAGCATCAAAATCATATAAGCATCACAGATAAAAGCAGAAATGGGAAGCTGAGACATGTTTTCTGTGGCAGAAGATAGTGTCACCTTATACTGAGCTGTGAGAAACTCTAACATTCTGGGCATGCCTGAACTCTGAAGGCATTGAGAGAGTATGCAGATATGGGTGACAATTTTAGAATTTTCTATTTTAAATTAACAAATTTTACAATTCTTCAGAGAAACAAGACATAGAAAAATCTTGAATGTTGTAGAAGAGACTTGTACTTTATTTCTAACTAAGCTGTAAGGGCTCAGTTTCTTACCCACAAGAATGATGAGCTTTAATGGCTTAAATGGGAAGTGTTTGGAAAGTCTGCTTCAAAGAATATCTTTAACAATGGTACCAGTACCAGTTGCCATGGAGTTGATTCTGACTCATGGCAACCCACGTGTGTCAGAGTAGAACTGTGCTCCTTAGTGTGTTTAATGGCTGATACTTCAGAAGAACATCAGGCCTTCATTCTGAGGTACTTCTGGATGGACTTGAAACTTCAGACTTTTGTTTAGCAGCCGAACATGTTAACCATTTACACCACTCGGGGACAATGGTCAGTGCCATTTATTATGTTTAAAAAAAAAAAAAAAAAATTCCTGTGATGATTCAAACTCATAGCAACCATACAGGACAGAGAAAAGCTGCCCTGTAGGGTTTCCAAAGCTGTAATCTTTACAGAAGCAAACTGCCTTGTCTTTCTCACATGGAGCAGCTGGTAGGTTCACCGACCTTTTGATAAACAGCCAGGCTCTTAACCACTGTGCCACAAGGGCTCTTTATTTATTAGGTGTCTTTACGTATTGGGGTAGGATATTTTATGATGCAGCTTGAATCAGCTTCAGAAATCTCTTTTCAATGATATTTTCTCATTAAATTCTCACAACAACCCCATTAATATTATATGTATATGTGTTATGTATTAATATCCTCAAATTTTTTTTTGAAGAAAAGCTGAGATGGAACAATTTACCCAAGGTCATGGCTAGTGAGGGACAGTGTGGGGATCTGAACTGCATCAGTCTGGTATTATTTATCTGAGAATGGAAGACTAGACTTCAAGTGAGCATTGGGGGGTTCCTATCATGCCAACAGGTTTTGATAAGAAATCAAAGAACTGATGTGTGTACCACTTTAAAATTCACCAAACAGAGGTGATGCTGGAGTTCATGGTCCCACAAAGACTGCAGGGAGAACATCCTTGACATGATTGCTAACTGGCTTTCATCTCATTTTTATACAGAAACTTCCTTCTTGGAGATCGGCCCTCATAGATAAATCTTTATAGTCTCACAAAAAAAAAAAAAAAACAGGGAGGGGACTTGTATTTTCCCAACTCTGTGATGAGGAATCATCTCTTGTCCAAAGTTAATAAAAGTAACAAAAGAAAATATCATCAAGCCAAATTGACCCTTTTGCACTGACCTGACCATACGATTAGAAACACATAAGTCAAAAAACAAAACCCCAAGTTACCCAGGATCCTCTGTGTCTGTGGACCACTGTGGAGAAGTGACTTGTCTTGTTCTCTCCTTGTTGAATGCAGAGGTAGTTATGAAGGCAGGGACTAGAAAAGGGAGAATGACATTGAACATATGAAGACTAAAGTACTCACAGCAATGTTTCCCAAATTTAGTTACAGACCTACAGAAGGTCCTCCATTTGTAAGTCCAAAAGTCTGTGGCAGAACATCAAAGTGGGGAAGGAAGCTAAATTACAATGTCCAGAACCAAATCTGATAAAGATGTGTGTGGATGCAGATAGTAGAGAAGGGAACTGCAGGCCTTTGACAAGCGTATTTGTGTGCAGTAATTAAACTTGTGTGAAAAGGAAGGAGAGGACCGAAGGAAAACAAACAAAAATATAGAGGAAAAACGTGAGGTGAAATCATGAAGAGAAAAAGAGAAGGATATAAAGTAATGGAAGAAAGCGAGGTAGAGAAGAAAATGGAAAGATAACAAGATTTAAGTAGAAGAGTAAAAGGGAGTGAAAGAAAGAAGGAAGGAGAGAGAAAGGCACTAACAGGAGATGGAAGGAGAAAGAAAAGACAACCAGAGAGAGAGGAAATGAGGAAGAGGAAGGACAGAAGCAGCAAAGGAGGGAGTTGGGAAGTGTTCTCCAGGCCTTCCAGGAACCACAGTCTGGATGCTCCACCCAACATACAGAACCAGGGATGAGACTGTCCAGTACCCACCAGGCACAGCGTTTTCCCCACGCCAACCTCAGGGAAAGAAAGTCACAAGTGGTTCTCTCCTACTTCCACCCTACCCAACTTTCATGCTCCAGGTAGAAGAAAAGGAAAAGATCTGGAAATTCTTTCACCTCACCTCTGTTCTAATTTTGTTTTGTTTGCCTGTCTCCTCCCTATTTCATCCCTGAGTCTGGGGAGGCATCTGTTACTATAGCACCTGGAGGTATGCGCTTGATACTACTCTGCTGTCAACTTGAGGAAGGCAGGTTTTTGATTTTTTTTAATTGTGATTCAGGTGAAAGCTTACAGAGCACATTCATTTTTCATTCAACAGTCATACACATATTGTTCCATGACACCGATTGCAATCCCAATAAAGTATGTAACAGCTCTCTTTCCACTTCCTATGGTTACCTATTCCCTGTGCCCTTCCTTCCTATCATCCCTGTCTTCTGAGCTTTATCCCTGCGCAAGTGCTGCCCTTCCTATCTCCCATGGTTGAGTGTTCTAAGCAATGCACCTATCTGGTATAAACATTCACCCTGTAGGCTTACCTATTGTTTGGCTGGAAGCCACTGGAGTGAGTTCAATTCCAGACCTGAACAGTGACTAGGGTGCCATGGCTCAGGCGATTCACCAGTCTCTATCAAATCAGAAAACCTGGTCTTTCTCATAACTTTGAGCTTTTCTCAAAAACATTTTTTCTCCTACTCTATCCAGGATCTCCTATTCTGATCCCTTTCCAAGTGGTTTGACAGTGGTAGCCAGGCATGACCTAGTTCTTCTGGTCTCAGGGTCATGTAGGCTGAGGTTCATATGGTCCACTAGTCCAAGGGATTAATTGTTTCCATGCATCTTTGATTTTCTTCATTCTTCTTTGCTCTGGATGAGGAGACATCAATTGTTGCATCATAGATGGCTGCTCACAAACTTTTAAGTTGCTACTCACTAAAGCAGGAGGTAGAACAGTGTTTTTGTATAGTATGTCTGCCAGTTGAACCTGGTGTCCCCCACAACCATGATCCTGAGCCTGTGGACCCAGCAACTCACTCC